AGGTAAGAGGTGATATTTATAATGCGTTCTTCATTACTGTTTCATTTAATTTGTGATAGAAGTGTTTATATCTTATTGTGTTTGTGATCTACGCTATATTTGGTGTATTTTTTTCTTTAATTTTTGTACAATAGATCTATCACGATGAGAAGAAAGAGAGCCAAGAATGGGCGCAGTACGTCGTTGAAGATGACTCTAAATCAAGTGCTGCGGGAAGAGTATCGTGCACCATTCATCGATCAGGTCACATACTGGTGCCTTTCGGCCACAATGATTACGACTCTGGCGTCATTACTGTTTTTGTTCAAAGCAAACAAAGCCTTTGATGATGAAAATGTTCGATTTTTTAAAGGCGAATCCGATGAATACACGAATGATGAATTCAATAAATACGTGAATGGTGTAATTGGTGAATGTTTCACCTCGGTATTACAAGAAAATTACCACAAATTACCGCTTGCATTTCGACGAACTGTGGAGCAAGCATGTCCTGATTTTCTTCGTCCTGAAAATTGGCCAGCTCGCGAGGGCATGGGGAATGCATTCAATCATCTCATCACTCAGTACATAACAAACGTGAAAAATAACATCAGAGTATGGGCATTCAATCGCATCAAGAAATTTTTCACGCTAAAGCGCTACGAACTGAATTTGAATCGACAAGGAAATCTCATCACTGAATTGGATGTAAAACGTGCGACGAAGATCGTAATGTTCCAGAGTAGAGTCGAGAGAAACGTGAACATCGATCTTCTATTAAACGAAGCAGCAGGCATTGGATTGCCAATCAATGTACACTTCCAGAATCTCATTCGTGATCGCTGGTTCCAAACCATTCCAATATTTATAAACATTCAGCGACAAATTTTCGATTTTCACGCGAAATATGAAATGTTGAAACAACGCTGGTTCCAATATCGACGCGATCCGAACAATAATGTCATGCCGACCACTCCACTCCCGCCAAAAATAAAGAATTTCTTAGTCATTCCAGTCCACGATTTCGATATGAAACATGTCCGCATCGATATCCATCTTTTTTATTTGATTGCGCGCAAATTTGGAGCATTGAAATTGGCAAAAGGAAAACGCGGTCAGCCAATAAACATTGAAAAAACTGAATACGATTTTGTTTACTTCTATGATTTTTTGTTCGTAAATCTCAGGAAAACATCACAATTGATGGTCCAAAATACCATTTCAAAGCGAAATATGGCAAACGCAAGCGTAAATCCGATCAATGGACTGAATTGTTGCAAAAACAACGGGAGCTCGACTATAAACGCTATGCATTTTTTCCATCGCCGAAAGGACGTTCACATTGGATGTGTTACATCGCTTATTATGTGAAAATGATGAAACCAGCTATGGCGGTGTACACAACAAGAAAGTTTATTCGACTCCGTCTTGATAAATACATCGGAGAGAATCGGGCCCTAGGGGCAAACTACTTCACTTTCGTAATTCTCATAATTCAATCTAGTACTCCGATAATTCCAAAAAATTCTATATAATTCCATACAATGCCACATAATTCCAAACAGTTTTTGAAGTATTTTAAATAGTTGTTTATTTACACAGAATTTTTAAATGAATATTATTATTTCAACGATAATATTTTTCGATATATTTTATATTTTCATAAATATATTTTCATACTTGTATATCACATCAATGATACCGGTTCGACATTTCTCATACAAACAGATTTCGGAGAGTTATTTTGAATTGGTTTCATTTGTATGTGATTGAAACGAAGGGAACGTTCCGAAAATGATTTGTACGACAATGTGTGTGTACGTGAAGAGCGATGCTTTGAATGTATGAGTATACAACGTCGCTGCTATGCAAATTGTACAACACATCGTGCAAACAATTTTCGAAACGATTCGTTCAGTAAATGAAGCCAATAAAATAGTTTGGTTTCGGTTGTATATACTTGCATAAAAATATATTTATGAAAATTAAAAAAATATCGAAAAATATTATCGTTGAAATAATATTATTCATACAAAAATTCTGTGTAAATAAACAACTATTTAAAATACTTCAAAAACTGTTTGGAATTATGTGGCATTGTATGGAATTATATAGAATTTTTTGGAATTATCGGAGTACTAGATTGAATTATAAGAATTACGAAAGTGAAGTAGTTTGCCCCTTGATCGGGCCAGTGACAAAATCGCGGCATCACTGACGAAAAAAAAGTCGGCGCTCGTTTTTATTGGTGCAGCTCAAATAGCTCCAAACTCACCAATTGGTATTAAAAAGCGATTGCGATGCCCGGGATTACGACGACTATTGAACAGTTTCAAGAAGTTGGGAAATTGTATTGTACGATTGGTCGACGAATACAATACATCGCAAACTTGTGCAAAATGTTTCCGGCCATTCGATCGACGAACCAAAAGCGATCGATACAAAGTTTGTCAGCATTGTATTCCAAGTGAAGATGAGTCATCGCAATGGAATTTACCGAACGTGATTATCACCATGAAAAGCAACCGAGTGTACCAACAATTGCGTAAATATGCAGTTGATTTTGTTAATCGATTGAATGCAGCCAACCCAGATCATATTCCAATGGATTCAGATGGTTTAGTGTCAAAACTTCAAGTATGTTTCAAAAACTGGCAACTAAACACTGGCATTTGGAAAGATGATCGAGCTCCATTTCAATTGAAAACTGTTTGGCACCGGGATATCGTTGCAGCCAAGAACATCATGTACAAAGGTGAAAAAATATCACTGAAATTAAAAATGTTTAAGAATGTTTTGGCTAACAATTTGTTGTTTACGATTTTGTTTTTAGGTCTTTGTACGGTGTTGGGATTGGAAATTCATCCGCAACTATTGAGACCACAGAATCAAAATGCTGCCGTACAAAATCAAGCAGCTGACGATGAGGATTCCAGTGACGATGAGGACTACGTTTATGTTCTCGATGTTTCCGATGACGACCAGTTTTAATTACATGTAGCATTAAGATTTCTTTTTAAATAATATTATTGTAACGTTTTGTTACTATGCTGGGCTTGAGTTTTGTGGCCTTGACCGAAGTACGGGCAGTTCGGTATATAAAATAACCCGTAGGTGAGTATCATTTATTGAACTGAGCCGATAGTATATTGATGTTGATTCATACTATACTTAGTAACTGAGTTTATTTTTTCTCTTTTTTCTTTCCATTGCGACGTTGAAAATGACTGAAACTACACTCAAATCCGACCCCAATATTGACCGTCAACATATGCCCGATAATGGATGAATTTGCCACAACAAATGTTTTTTGGGTTGGCCGATTTTTGGTGGAATAGCCATCCAAAACGGTCGATATTTTGTTCGATTTTGTTTGGCTAGTCACAGAGCATATCTACAGAGTCATTGGAGTACATTTTGGCCCATAAATTACTCCAAATGTTAAAAGTAACATTTTTTGTCATTTTTGGCCATTTTTGGCCATATTCACTCTACCGAAGGTCATATCTTGTAAACAAGAATTCAGTGTATTTCCCAGCGCTGCTGCCATCCACAGCATATTAAAATATCTTGCTGAGAATGCGTCGTCCGTCGCATGCAAATGTAAGTAGCAGTTTATACATCACAGCAAACAAGAATGCATGCATTGTTCTATTCACGATTATGTGACTCAAAACATTCAAACAAATGTATAGAGAACAATGCATGTATTGTTCTTCGCTGTGATGTAAAAACGGACGACGCATTCTCAGCAAGATATTTTAATATGCTGTGGATGGCAGCAGCGCTGAGCAATACTCTGCAAGAATTTTCTGGGATATGAGCTATGCGGCATATAATAGCTTAGACTTGGGCCTAAAATCGCTGAATTTTTCAAAAAAATCCTTGAGCTTGTTTTCGAGGTAATGGACGTTATGTGTCCGGCCGAATGGTAACTTTTTGGTTTTTGGCCAATTTGGCCACTCCAAATTCTATGGGTGAGATCTAAAAGAACGTTTGTTTTTTTTTCGCTTTAAATTTTGGAAAAGGAATGTATGTGTTTTGCCAATTCTGTCTTACTAAAAGGAAAGTATGTTTTGCACCAAAAAAAAAAATTGTAAAAAGGAAGTATGTTTTCCGGCTTAATCAGTTGCTAATAAAGGAACGCATGTTTCGCACCAAATAAATTTTGCAAAAGGAAAGTAAGTGATTCTGAATCAGTTGTTAAAAAAGAGATGCATGTTTAACGATGATTTTTCTGGAACTGGGCTTCGATGGATCCTCAGGATCATCAGAACACTCCCACTTCTGGAAGTGGGTTTTGGTGGATCCTCAGGATGGACCAGACTATGTTTTGACAATGCCCTGGCCCATCCTGAGGGTACAATTCCAGAACTGGGAGCGGTTCTGATGATCCTGAGGATCCACCAAAGCCCACTTCCAGAACAAAGACACTTACGTTCTTTTATCCAAATCAACAAAACTGAAACATGCATCCCTTTTCCAAAAACTGATTCAGCCGAAATACATACTCTTTTTTTTCAAAATTTACTTGGCGCAAAACATACATTCCTTTATTGCGACAAAGTCGAACACACTTGCGTTCTTTTAGATCTCACCAATAGAATTGAAATTTTTGGACCGCAAATGGCTTCATTCGATAGCCTACTTCAAGACCTTTCCAATGATTTGCATATGTCCGGGGGGTCAAGTCATGGCACTTCGGTGACCATAATAATAAGCACATAAATTTTCAAAAAGATCAGAAACAAGTTCGCAAAATCGCAGACAGACAGATATACCAAATGATTTTTATAGGAAAATCATATGAAATTTTTAAAATGCGGAATTTTTTGAACGGATTGATCGATTTCGACGTTTGAAAGGAATGGAAAGGTGTTGAGGTGGTGTAGAATCAGAATATCGATTTTTCAGGGGACCTCATTTAGTGCCATATATGGCCGTAGAACTGAATTTTGACCCTTTTCTTGAAAGGAACATATTTTGAAGACAGGTGGACCGATTTTCAAACTTTTATATTTTTTCTTGATCTATAGCCCAAGGGATTTCCAACCATACATCAACCGGGGCTAACGGCTTTCTAGGTCTGGATTTCGTATATTACGTGTAAAAAAAAATACTATGTAATGGATTATGTATATAGCGAGTTCGACTTTTCAACATGTGGTTTCGTCACTCGCGCGAACTGCCGTCCGCTGTGATTTTGATAAGAAAATAATATTCACAAGTTTTCACGGTAATTTAAGTTACTGCAACCCTAGGGGCTAAGAACAAAAATTTATTGAATTTTTATTTGGAGTTATTGCACGAGTATTTACATCTATTTACCGTATTGAACGATATTTACCGTATTGAACGATATTTACCGCATTGAACGATATTTACCGCATTGAACGATATTTACCGTATTGAACGATATTTACAAATATTGATCGTATTGAGTCATATTGTTGAGACGTAAATACTTGTCAATACGTGTAAATACTTGTCAATACTGGAAATGAATGTAAATACGCGTAAATAAAAATTTCGTTTGTCAAACCTAATGTCAAACTGTCTTATCGACTGAATTATTCGTACAAAAAACTCTAAAAAGTATACTTTTCGTAAATAAAAAATAAAAATAAAAAAAATTTGTAATGTTTTTTAGCGGAAATTAATTTTCTTTTTAATTTTGCTGGGATTTGTGCGGTGATTATTCGCTGATTATTAAATCAAAAATAAATATGCGTAACATAACCTCACTTTTAATTACGTAATTAAAATTTATGTAATAAAGTATTACGTATGAATTTTTTTGACTGAATAATACCCGATTCTATTTTACCCGATATCTCAAATTGAATTTTACCCGACTGTTTTTTCACGTCGGATAAAATTCATATTGTGAAAATGAACTCCATCCGACGTCGGGTAAAAGTCAATTTGGGCGTCGGGTAAAATTCATTTTGAAAATTGAATTTTACCCGACCTGGAAATCGTCGGATAAAATTCAATTCGCGAGTCGGGTAAAATTCATTTTCAATATGAATTTCACCTGACGTCGGATAAAAGTCAATTTGAGCGTCGGGTAAAGTTCATTTCTGAAAAATGAATTTTATCCGATGATTTTCAAGTCGGGTAAAATTCAATTTAAGAGTCGGGTAAAATTCAATTTTATGAATGTATTTCATCCGACGTCGGGAAAAATTCATTACTTGTAATGTAGCTGTGTTTCAATGAAAAACTGAAAACTAGAATTTTAAGTATTGTAAGTATTCTATCAGAAAAATACAAAAACCGTATAAAACGTGTATTGTAAAACTGTATAAAATAAAGAGGCTTACGTTCGCAAGCTGACTTTTCCGCATGGAATCGAAATTTTGGGAATAAACTGAAATTATGGTCTATGTATGGTTGCAGTAACTTAAATCGCCGTGAAAACTTGTGAATATTATTTTCTTATCAATATAAATAATCACACCAAGTTTAAAGAAATTTCAATCAAAAAATAAAGAGTCTTACAGGAGTGAGACGAACTTTTTCGCACGGTGGTAGATGCGTATTCTATTAAGCTAGTTCAAAATAATATTTGTTCGATTTTTCAAGCCTTTCAAGCGGCGTTAAGTTCGAGACCAAAAAATATGTTCAAACCTTGGGATCGAAATATTCTTTAATTTAATAGCAGAAGTACTTGCACACGTATCTCGGCTCACGCATACATTCAAAGCTATCAAATATTTTTATTCTATAGAAATATTTATTGCAATATATTTAGCAAAAAATGAAAGTCTGCTTTCATGATGAACCCATTTGTACGACATTTGAAAGTATTCTATTTTCTAACAAAACACTATAAAATATATGTCTGACGTATTTCGAAAAAATTTGGATTTTCGTATGGAAGCAGGAGGGTTCGTCCATAACATTAGGAGGGTTTGGAGAAATTTCAACCAAAATTAAGAGTACATCCCATACAAAATATTCTAGACCAAGAGCCACACCAACAACTAACTTTTTTTTTGCTTTATGTCAGAAAACTATATTGAACCATGCAGCTAGACATATACTAAACAAATAATTTTACGTTTATTACTTCAGCCACCCACTTCGCGAAATCTGCACTATTATTCGCGGATAGAAAACACATCAATTAACCCTTGACCGGGCGGGTCAAAATCCTAACACTATCGGGCAGGTGGGGCCTCCGAGGCCCGACGTACAATTTTCATACAAAAATGTTTTTACAAAACATGTTTTTTTGTTTTTTGTGTATTTTATTGAATTTATGCTATAAAATTTATTGTTTCAACTTAATAGAATGATTTTTTGAGATATTTGAAGTGAATCTGAAGTGTTTTTTATAACATTTGAGTGAAAAAAATGAAAAAAAAATCGAAAGTTATTCCGAATCGGATGAATTAATGTGTAGGTTCAGTAGTTGTTTTGCACAATTTTTGCATTTCACACTTGCCTCTGCGTGTTGATTGCATACATTTTGGTTGCAAGTTTCGCACATTTGTTTAGTCTTTCGGTCAATTTTTGCTGGACACATATAACACCGACGGTGTTTCTTTGAGGCTTCAGCTGATTCACTTGCTTCACTGGTTTCGTCTCCAATTACTTCTCGAATCGTCCGCTTATGCGACGATGACATATTGTTGGTGCATCGACGGGAAATATGCGCATTTGTTAATTCCGATGACAATCGTGTGAGAAAGTGTTTTCTTTGATATTTTACGGGCTCATCGTTTGAACCGCAAGATTTTCGCCATAAAACAAATGCTGCAATGCCAGCAACGTTCAACAAATTCATGAAGTAGGCAAATGGCCATCTATTCGTTCGTCGTTGTACCGTGTACGAATGACAGAGTTGATCGAGAACATCCACGCCTCCCTTTTGTTTCATTGTAAAACGTATTGATCTCAGCTTTTCCATCATTTCCAATGGTTGGGGTGCGATGCAAAGTTGACAACAAAATGATCGATTTGTTTTTTTTTTTTGGAACATGCGATAAAAGTGTCATCGTTGGACGAGAACCAAATAAGTTATCAACAACAGCCCGCTGTTTGTTTGGCAAAAATTCTGCTGGAATAAATGACTTGTTTTTTCGAGATTTTCACCTGGTGAAT